TTAATGTTCTAATTAGATTGTATGTATGTGGATTCTCACCTATTTTCAGTAGGTCAGCTATCTACCTATAAAGGAAACCTGTCAATAAAAAATATGACAGCTACCATTGCTTTTTCCACCATTTGAAAATGCTACTTCCCTGACTATCGTGATGATTCTTTTGCTTCTATACTCTGAGTTGCTGTCCCAGGACAAGTATAGCAAAAAAGAATTCTAGCTTTATTTGCTCCATGTCATAGTAATTGTGAAGACAGAGATAGTCAAGCAAATATCATTTCAAAAGTAGGCCAGTAATGTGCATGTGTACCTATTGAGAACTAAGGTACTGTGGTCACTGGTCTGTGGGGGAAATAATAGTGATTAACCAGGAAAATCCTTGCTGATAATTTAGCAGTCTGATTATGTCCATATTTCTGTGCTCAAAGCAGTACATTTTTTTTGCATGGAAATATATATTTTTTTATTGTAGGCCTGTAATTTTTAGGAATAACTCACTGAAATCTGTCCAAAGAAGAGTCTAGTAAACATCCTGGGTATGTTACAATTTAAAACACGAAATCATAAATTATAATTTAATAAATAATCATGAAAAAATATATATAATAATATATTTAATTCAATAATATAATCAAACCAAAAACACTGAAATTTGAAATATAGCGCCAAGTTCGCACATCACTGAACAAAGTCGCAAAAACGTTTTCAGTGTCTGATGACGAATTTCCCCACGAATAATTATCACTCAATTCTGCAAGTGGTTCTAATTTACTATCGCTGTTCTCTAGCTGGTCTAAAACCGCTTTTGACCTAAAGGGACGCTTTATGAACGCCATGGACGTTTCTCAGTTTCCAGGCAGAAAGAACAGTAAAAAATGCAGGCAGGGCGCAGGACAAAGCACTCGGGACAAAATGTATGTGAAATGGTTTGATACATAATGTTTTACTATGTGATTTTAGTGTATTTAGTGAATGTCACTTTTTGTCATTTTCAAATTTCCCGCTGTTCCGTCCCCGTATGTCCCGACGCTCGCAGGGGACGGAACCCAGATGACAGATGCCGGCATCCGCAGGAGGACATTGCCGGGGACACTGCAGGAGGGACATCGCGGGAGCACAGGACAAGGTAAGTGAAGAACAGATCCCAGAGCAGCGCCGCATGGTAAGCCCAAGTATAGCTCGGGGTTACCGCTTGTGGTACTGAAACTTTACCCCGAGCTACACTTGAGAATACCGCCAGGGAGGCTACGCAGGCTCAGACAGGCAGTATCTTTCATGGCAGTCTGTATTAGAAAGGAAAATTTCTCCCCTCAACCAGGGGGGTTAATTTACTAAAGTTAGACAGTGCAAAATCTGGTGCAACTCTGCATAGAAACCAAACCATTCAGCTTCCAGGTTTTTTTGACAAAGCTTAATTAAACAAACTGAAGTTAGAAGCCGATTGGCTACCGTGCACAGCTGCACCAGATTCTGAGTATGCCAGTTTTAGTAAATCTCCCCCATATGTTTTTATCAGCTCCTAATTGACAAACACTACCTCACCCCATCTCAGTACAAGTTTAGTTCAGCTTTTGTGGGAAGGCACAGACAAAAAAATTGCATATGCATATACTCCTGCGCTGGAAGATGGACTCCACAAAGGCTAGAACCACATGTAGGATGCTTTGAAAATGCACGCCTTGCTGCCCTCAACGGACCAGGGAAATCCAAATGTACTGCATGCAAAGAAACAAACAGAGGGCACCAATCATTGGCTCTGAGGAAGAGGCAAGTCCTCGAAACGCGTCAGTGAGTTGGAGGTCTAGAAATCCCATTACGGATATCATCTAGTGAGACTGGACCTTGCTGCACCTTATATGATGTGCCCTTGACATTGTATCCTTTGTGAGTATATTACTACTTCTTTTATACAATAAATTATTTTTTAAAAGGTATTGCGCTAGGCCTGTGTGCCATCTGTTTGTTTCTTTGCATGACTTAAGGCATAGACCTGTACCAACTCCTCAAGTACCAGAACACTTTAATTTAGAACTTCAACTGATGCACAAAAAGGAAATAACCAGCACGCAACAGTGCACACTAGACAGACTGCAGGTGCCCATTTTTCTTTCCCAGTCTGCTACTCTTTCAGCCCTGGAATATGTCATCTCTATCTTTTCTTCTCACGCCTTATACTTTCTTTCTTTCACCCCCCTCCTCTCCACCACACAGCCTATACATATCATCTTCACTCCTGCCCTTTCCCTATTACTGCACTCATCACCTCCTTCTATTTCTGAACCCACATGCTGACAAAACCTCCAGAACACTGGGGCATGTGCCCTCATATACAGTGGATATAAAAAGTCTACACACCCCTGTTAAAATGTCAGGGTTCTATGATGTAAAAAATGAGACAAAGATAAATCAGTGCAGAGCTTTTTCCACCTTTATTGTGACCTATAAACTGTATAACTCAATTGAAAAACTGAAATCTTTTGGGGGGGGGAGTAAACATAAAAAACTAAAATAATGTGGTTGCATAAGCGTGCACACCCTCCTATAACTGGGGATTTAGCTGTGTTCAGAATTAAGCAATCACATTCACAATCATCAATATAACTCTAATATGTTAAATAAATATCCCTAAATACGTAAACCAATACACAATTAATGAACCCAAAAATCATATAATAAATAATCCCCAAAATATCCAACAAATATATAAAATAAAATTATTGATAATAAACAAAAATTATTTTCAAAATTATAAGTCACTCGTGTCCAAAAATAAATAAAGTCACTCCAAACTTTGTATCCAAAAAATGCAACTTTTCAGATCCATTGGTATCGAGCCCCTCCAATGGCTCCCAAAAGGAAAGTATGTACCTCAAAAAGAAAGAAAACTCATATAGTGCATTAACTTAATAAAATCAATATCATACCCATATACCATATGCACTGTGCAACTTCAAAAAATGTGAAAATTAAAGTGAAAATGTGAACACTGTGTAAAACCGTGATAGTGCGTCACTCTGTGAATACAGTAATCCAAGTTACCATTCAGTGTACACTTCTGTAGTGTAAGGCATATATACCCTTACCAAAAAAAAAACAAACAAAAAACACCTTCTTAATACTTCAGAGATAGGCAGCACGCTCCCACAACTTTCCTCCAAACCTGAATAGTACTCCTTAAGATGTCATCAACCACCTTCTTCTAGATGTCATCATGGCTTTTAAGGAAGTACTCCATAGTACTTAAAGTACTCATGCTCCATGCAAGTGATATATGAACAAAATCTAGAGTAATTCCGTTATGGGATTATTACACATACACTTTATTTCTTGCTTACATTCATATAATATCAACAACGCTTATTCCCATGCCCTCAAACCTCTAGGGTCGCCGAGCAGCCTCCAAATCATTTGACATGTGAATTTCCAATATAAAAAATGACCGACATGCCACTTCCAGTTCGGATGTGTCGAAACGCGTCAAGGGAAGTGACGTCGGACTCACAGGAGAGGAACCAGAAGTGGCGTGTCAGCCATTTTTGATATTGGAAATTCACATGTCAAACGATTTGGAGGCTGCTCGGCACAGAGATCACACTATCAATGCTTAGATTGGAGAGACAGAACACTTCATATCTTACCAAGATTATTGTATTTATTTTGGACTCCCCCGATCTCATCCCATGGTTCTGATCTTAAAAAATTTCAACAGAAGTTGCTACAGTATGTTTGTGGTGAAAGGAGACCCAGGGTGAATAGGCGCACACTGCACACTCCAAAACAGAAGGGTGGCCTGGGGATGCCAGACCTACCTAAATATTATCATGCCACGCAATTGGCACAGTTAATCCATTTCCACACTTAATACAAATGTCCACTATGGAAGAAGATGGAGGAATCCAGATAGGTCAATAAGCCATCTTCTATAGTTACACCCAAAAGATAGACCACGTATAATATTTCCTACACTGTTATTTTCTTTAAACTTATGGGAGAGATTGACAGTCAGTTATGGCTTTATGTCCCCACTCACTCCTTTGGCCCCATTGTTAAGAAATCAGCATTCGCCCTGGGTCTCCACCCACATAACTTTACATGGTGGACAAATAAAGGCTTGTTCCACATAGAGGATCTATGCCATCATAGTGGAATTAGGTCACAAACTTGTTTGAGAGAAAGATGTCAGCTCCCGGACACTGAACTGTTTAGGTATGCTCAATTGACACACTTTTTGTATGCTTTAAAAAGCAAATCAGACCTGACTACTTCCACTTTTATTGAATATCTCTGTCAGAATTTTTCACAAGCACGCTGGTCACATATCTAAACTTTATAGTATGTTAACACATAACCCCACAAAACTGTTCTATATGGACAAGTGGGAACAAGATTTGAATGAACATATTAGAGATGCAGGATTAGTGCAGGTTTGCTCAAGACAAATCTTTTATCAACACCTCTCTTATAGAGACTAAATATAAAGTACTTTTGAGATGGTACATGGTATCAGCGCAAGTGTCAAAATATGTTCTGGGAGCATCTTCTCAGTGTTTTAGAGGTCGTGGGCAGGAGAGCACTGTCTTTCACACTTGTTGGTCATGTTAGAAGGTGCGGAGGTTTTGGATTAGAGTATATAACTTCATTTATTCACTTACTCAAGTGAACTGAGTGAAATCTGCTCAGCAGGCCTTATTGGGATGTAAACTTGAGGGACTGCTTAGGCATACTAGAAAATTGATCACTTTCATTTTTGAGGTGGCCAGAATATCTATTGCAAGATCTTGGAGATCTCCTACAAGCCCTGAAGGCCAAGCTATCATGAATAATAGTAAATGAATGGCTCTCAGCATTGATAAATGATAGGGTATATTCTTTGACAAAACCTGGGATCCTTGGATCACATACACTATATTGTGAAAAGTATTGGGACAAGCCTTCCAAATCATTGGATCTAGGTGTTCCAGTCACCTCCATGGCCAACGATGCATAAAATCAAGCACCTAGGCATGCAGACTGCTTCTAAAAACATTTGTGAAAGAATAGGTCGCTCTCAGGAGCTCAGTGAATTTAAGCGTGGTACCGTGATAATCTGCCACCTGTGCAATAGGTCCATCCATGAAATTTACTTGCTACTAAATATTCCATCGTCAACTGCTAGTGGTAGTAAAACAAAGTGGAAGCAACTGGGAACAACAGCAACTCAGCAATGAAGTGGTAGGCCACATAAAATGACAGCGCGGGGTGAGCGAATGCTGATGCACACAGTGCGCAGAAGTCGCCAACTGTCAGCAATAGCTAAAGACCTCCAAACGTTGTGTGGCCTTCAGATTAGCACAACAACTGTGCATAGAGAGCTTCATAGAATGGGCTTCCATGGCCAAGCAGCTGCATCCAAGCCTTACATCACCAAGTGCAATGCAAAGTGTCGGATGCAGTGGTGTAAAGCACGCCGCCACTGGACTCTAGACACTCTGGTGTGGGGTTGTTTTTCAGGGGTTGGGCTTGGCTCCTTAGTTCCAGTGAAGGGAACTCTTAAGGTTTCTACATACCAAAATATTTTGGAAAATTTCATACTCCCAAATTTGTGGGAACAGTTTGGGGATGGCCCTTTCCTGTTCCAACATGACTGCGCACCAGTGCACAAAGCAAGGTCTATAAAGACATGGATGAGTGAGTTTGGGGTGGAGGAACCCTGGGGTGGAGGGTGGAGGAACTTGACTGGCCTGTACCTCAACCTGATAGAACAACTTTGGGATGAATTTTGGGAGACTGCGAGCCAGGCCTTCTCATCCAACATCAGTGCCTGACCCCACAAAATGCACTTCTGGAAGACTGGTCAAACATTCCCATAGACACACTCCTAAACCTTGTGGACAGCCTTCCCAGGAGAGTTGAAGCTGTTATAGCTGCAAAAGGTGGGCCAACTAAATATTGAACCACATGGACTAAGACTGGGATGCCATTAAAGTTCATGTGGGAAGGCAGGCTTCCCAATACCTTTGGCAATATAGTGTATCTATCAACCTCTCTCTGAGAATGGAACAAAAGCTATTCTATCGGATGGATATGGTGCACCCTCTTTCAGTTTCTTTCCTTTAATTCCCCTCCCTCCTTTTCTCTTTCTTTTTGCTTTTTGTAAACTTGAATTTTCTTTTTGTTTTTGATTGTCTTTTGATTTTCGAACGACAATGAGGCACCGCCCTTGGGTACCACCCACCACATGGCCATAACATTGCATTATTAAAATTATACTTGATGACCGTACATATTCGCATATGCATACTGTATCGTTGTCATGTCCTCCATAACACATTTTCCTAGGCTATTTGTAAATCATTGGCCTTTTGTCAGTTTTCAATTGATCTTTTTTTCTGAGCTATTGAAATACCCTTTGAAAATAATAATAAAAATTAATGGAAAAGAAATACCAACTATCATTCTTGGTGACTTTAACATCCCTGTTATTGTAAACACTCCATCTACCCCTCAACTCCACATCCTAACCTCTTCTTTTGACCTAACTCAGAGAACACACTGTTCTACGCACTCTGATGGAAACACTCTTGGCCTTGTATTCTCCCACCTCTGCACTCCTTACAACCTCTCCAACTACATTTCCTCTTTCTAACCACATTCATGAGCTTTATGCTCGCCCTGTCTTCACTCCCTATGCCTCAAACCAGAAACAATTACCAAAAGGAATCTTCACCTCTTCTCTATTCAGGTGAGCAGCTGTCCAGTTGGAAGCTGCTGCCACAGATGAGCTCCTTGGCAATCTTTAGTGAGGGCAGTGCTTAAACAAAGCACTGGCTTACTGCAGTCAGTGCAAATTTTGCGTGTGGCTAGGATATGGACAAGAACCCACTGGAAAGGGAGCGTGTACCTAGCGTAGGGAAACATTCCAGAGGCAGAGGGACAGTATAGGAACTACTAGTTATCACTGCTGTGTGGAACCTTTCCACTTCTAGTGCCTTGTTGTATACTGCCTACCAGCTTCCTCCTATGACAGGTGCTGTCAGTCCTTGACCATCGCCTTACTCAGGTACTGCATAATCATTTGTGAGCGTTTCTGCCCAGTTGAAACCTCTATAGTGTGTTTGGAATGTTCTTGACTATACACTTCCTTGAAATCTTGGACCTCCATGTGTTGTTCCTTCCCTCTGTGGTGCCCTTTACTCCTGTCTACAACCCTGTGTGTTATCTGCCTATGTCAGTGTTGGCATATGACACTTTAGGCAGTGTTGGATGTCTATGCCTCACGCCACATGCTGTTGCACCATCCTCCAAACTTATATTGCGCAGAGTCCTGTCATGGCACAAAGTTTAAAAGAAGGAGGCACAGTGAGCAAGACTCCTTATGAATATGCAATATTTCTGGCTGCGTTGGACTTTTTTCAGACACAGAGTCTAAATAGATAAACTGGAACTGTTTGTCAAAATAAATTATCTCTATCCCTAATCCTTATCCCAAATTATCCCTATACTTGATTGGGCTCAGCAAGTGTAGGCACCACTTGAATGCATACCAGTACACAAATAAAACATACCTTAAAACTGCATTACAAGGTAAACTCATCAGTCCAGACAAGGCCTTATGGTTTTTAGTGAGTTTTATTTTCAGATTATACTTTTTAAACTTTTTATATCTGTTTTTTTCTATATGTATATAGCTTTGTTTACAAATAAACATTTAATACATGACAAAGGATTCCTAGAGCACTATTGGTTATCAAAAAAGACAGTACAGTATTACTTCATCTGCTTTCAGGGAGGCTGGTCTATCTGATAAGGAATCAGTCACTGCAATGCGTCACTGCATTAAGCTCATTTACTTTAGAGTGTAAACTTCAACCTCAGCTTTTTCTCTTGATAAACAACAGGTTTTTTTTTCAGCAGGAGGTAAGGAACCTGGGAAATATATGACAATGTGCATAAAGTACTACCTGCTGCCTTTGTTTTCCTTTTTAATGGTTGAACTAGATGGGTGTGTCTTTTTTTTCAACCAGACTATGTAACTATGTAAAAGAAATAGTTTTGAAAACATTATTTTTTTTAGTCCAGACCATAACTGACAAAGAAATAAAATATGTACAAAACCTCTACACATCCCCTTTAAACATTTGTTAACCTTTGATTAGTTCCTAAAACATGTTATTGCATAAATATTATTTTTTACATTTTGCATAAACTGGCTTGGAGTGTGTATTTAATAATAGGATGCATGCTGATCTACAGACTATACAGACAATGGAATGTGCAAATAAGGTTTACATTCCCTGCACTGAATCTGGGATGTAGCTGGTTGATTGATTTTATTTTACAAGTTGCACTAGAGAAATGACAGCTAGAATTTGTAGTTGAACCGGCATCACCTCTTCTATTATTTTCCTTGATTTTAAAAATCAGCCTTGGAAATTTGTTGAAGCTTACATCAACTTTCAACACACAGAAAATAAAGTCTGCAGCCGCATACAAACAGATACGGTTGCAAACCCATCAGTCTGGTCCAACATCCGCCACTAATACATATTCAATCATACTTATGAAGAGATCATTTATATATTATTAAAGTGAGTTTGTATATATTGTATTTGTTTATATTATTGTCAAGGCCAAATATTACAAGTTTTAACAATATGGGTTTTGTCAGTTTGGTAAATATGAACTATTGCTTATCTACATAATGTAGTCTTCTATTCAGCCAGCAGGTAGCGCTCTAGTCTCCTTTTCACATACAAAATGTCAGCTTGCACAGGCCTTGTCACTATGCCCAGTAAGTTCCAAATTATGTTTTCACTTTCTCTACATGTAGATATGTGCAGTACCTCTCAGCTGTACAAAGTTAGTTTCACTAACCGTTGGACAGTAAAAATGGTACACAATGCATATCCCTTATGGAAATTCTTTAAAATCAAATAAAAAGAAAACTTATTTTATTAAGTTGAGATACCACAGGTTTTGAGGCTTTGTCCATGAAAATGTGTGCCCTGAGAAATGTGCCTAGTTTTCAGATCTGGACAAATCCTTGAAGTGGTTGTAAAGGCTGAAAGTTTTTATTTTCATGCATTCTATGCATGAAGGTAAAAAAAAACCTTCAGTGTGCTGCTCCCCTCACAGCCCTCCCTAATACTCACCTGAGCCTCCTCTCGATCCAGCGATGTGCACGACAGCCTCAGCTGTCCCGGGTCTTTCTCTCCTCATTGGCTGAGACAGCAGTGGGAGCCATAGACTCCCACTGCTGTCAATTACAGCCAATGAGGAGAGAGTGGGGGTGGGGCCGAGCCACGGCTCTGCGTGTCTTATTGACGCATAGAGCAGGGCTTGGGAGCAAGAATGCACCAGTGCCCCCATAGCAAGTAGTTTGCTATTGGGGGCACTAGCCAAGGGGGAGCCAGGAGCACCGGCGGGGTACTCGAGAATAAGAGGATTGGGGCTGCTCTGTGCAAAACCATTGCACAGAGCAATTAAGTATGACATGTTTGGGTTTTTTAAAGAAAAAAACTGAAGCTTTAATATTACTTTAATAATATTAAAGATGTGTTAAGCTGACCATACAACCCTAGATTTTGCTCAGAAGAGATCTAAGAGAAGAAATGTAATAAATTCCTCCATTCACACTAAACAGCACCAGTGGGAAAATCTCCTGCTGCAGCTATTGTATTCTGACAGTGGGCGCAGCTAGATGTCAAACTACCTATACAGGGCCTTTATCTGATTGGATGCAGGCGTTGTTCGGCCAACAATTTTCAACCCTGCTCCTTCAATTACTTAATCAAAGGGTGTCCAGCAGAATGGTGTCAACAGGGCCACCCACTGATCGATTTTTGGTAAGTTCATTAGGAGTAGGCCAGCTTTAGAGTTTTTCTTTCTCAGCAGTTTCACTTTCCAATTGAGGATTATGCCTAAATCAGAGTTTTGTTTTGCCACTGAGAAATCTCCAGTAGTGATTTCTCTCTCTTCTTCCTGTCTGCCTGACCCTCTGGTGTATTCCCACTCCCCACCTCCCTCTTCCCCTTTGCTGCCCAACTCTTATTCTAGCACCATGTCTCGATTTTAACTTAACATTTACGACAGCTTCCCAGAGCACAAGTCCTACTCTTTATTATAGTGGGCCCATGAGCACTGCTGTCTCTCTTTACGCCAACTCAGAGTTGGTATTATCACTGCTCTTCTATCTGGGAGCTACTGCCATAGCAACAAATTCTTAAGGAATTACTGCCCTACCAGCTGCATTTCTCTTATGCATATACTGCCCTCTGTCATACACTCTGCACTTCTCTCCTGTACTTACTGCCCACTGTTATACACTCTGCACTTCTCTCCTGTACATACTGCCCACTGTTATACACTCTGCACTTCTCTCCTGTACTTACTGCCCACT